CATACATGCGTGAACTTCTACACATGGACCTATCCTCCAGTTAAGTAGTTGGTATAAAATATTATTAACGAAGGGCTATATCAAAAATAGATTGTATACTTTTAGGTGCCCCTATAACAAATTGCAAGTCAAGGAAAAATAATTTATAAATGAATTTATCTAATTGTGGTAATGACCTGCACTCTTATCCATCCAAGGGTTACCACACCGGTAGCATTGCTCAAAGGCAGCATCTTGATATACATAAGTGCTAGTGTTAGAATGAGCATTTGTGATCACATATACATAGTTATGAGGTATAGAGAGAAAAAAATAAGTAAGAGAATAAGTGATAATTAATTGACACGATACATACTAGTCATTATATTTAATCGCGGTAAGATCGAGCTATATAACCTTCTAAAAATATTCTAGATTAACATATACATATCTATTTGCTGATCGCGTGTTCACATTTGTATAATATAATTACTTAGACTTAGAACCGCAAAATCGGCGTAGTGGAGCTCAGACGCTTCTATCTTGTCAACAAATAACTCAAGCAAAACAATTTTTAATTTAATTAATATTGATATTTTAAACAAAGTATTGTATTTAATATTTCTCTCAGTGTATATACTTTGTATATCTTTAAGTTTGATTTTGCATTTGCTGCATATAATTAGGGGTCGCAATAACGGCTAAGCGTTGCGACCTCACAAGCGCCACCAACTCTTTCCGCACTGCCATTTCCTTTTTCAATCAGCAGCTCTGCGCCGCAGACCCACTCCAGTCGTAGCGTTTACTTCCTTTTTACTTCAGCTGTTACTGAGCCGTCACCCTCATCCGCCACGCTGCGTGTGCTTTGCGGTTTTCACGTCTAATGATAGTGTTGCCACTGGTATTGACGTTAGTTGTCGGCAATGTTGGCTGCTGTTATTGTTCACAGCTTGCTGTTACCGCTGCGGCGACACCTATTGTTAACGGTTTTTTGCTTTTGTTAGCAGGATTTGAAACTACACTCTGTGGGGTGCTTTGCTAACTTTGTTTTTGTTGTTCTTGTTACTGCTGCTGCTGCTGCTGTTATTATTGTGATCAACACCAGTCACACAATTTTTGTTGTTATTACTTATATTTTTGTATCACGACAAGCATTTGTTGCAAGTTTTGCTTGTTAAGCGGCTCTCAGTGGCAAATATTGTTGTACCGTTAGTTTAGCGCTTAGTTTACTGGGTGCTTTAGAGCACCTAGCGCGGTTGTGATTGTAGCAGTTTTTGCTAGTGGGTTTATAGAGTTAATTCATGTCAAAGTTGCGGTCAGGTATTGTACGCGCTGAGGTTTATAACTTTATGTATTTTTTATTACATTTCAGAAACCTAATTAAGTGTTTTTATGGCGGTTTGTGAAAGGATTCTATATTTAAAGAAATTATGTAGAATAAAAGGGGGTTCTCTGAATTTAAGTTCAATTTTTGAATGTGCAAAATAGTTCATCCAAAGGTTTGAATATTATAAATTCTCTTGGCATAGACTTACAAATTAGAAGAGTTTGGAGTTTGTAAAACTCTGTGATTAAACTGCCACCAAAAAAAAAAAAAAAAAATCTTCAGTAATTAAATCCTATCTAATCTCTTTGCAATAAAATATAGTTACATATGTAATCTCTACCAAATTTTGTGAATATATCTAGTGAAATAAAAAAGTGTTAAATATCAGGAGTTGCTTTTGAACCGTAAGTTAGCATGGTTGTTAAATCCTATAATGGTCCGATATAGGCAGTTTCGATGGGTAGAAAACGACGTATGTAAAATCTCTGATCGGTATCTCAAAAACTAAGGGACTAGTTCGCCTGTAAACAGACGGAAAGACAAACATTTTTCTTTGGGTGTTACAAACCTTGTGAAAAACTTCGAAATTTCAGCAAATGCAGCCAACTTCAATCAAAATTCTTTAAACGAGTCTTAATTTCTAATAAAATCTCATTTTTAACGGAACTGAGCAATATTAATTTTTTCAGATATCAAACTTAATCAAAATTAAGTGGCATTCCACGTATTAATTTCATATTCATTTTATAGAGCATAGGTTAGGTTAGCCTGGTAGGCTAATGAGCCACACATGTACCCGTTTTGGTCGTTTTGCGATACCAGATGGAGTTCAGTTACCAGGTCTATGAGGAGTAGTCATGCTGGATGCCTGCGATTGACGCAAATTTCAACAGACTCTGTGATTTCACTATCGATACCTCTTCCACTGTGTAATATCGTGGGGAACCTGAAGGCTTACAGCGTACGCAATGCGGGGTAAGTGCACAAGAGATGTCGCCACCAGACAGGAACCAGTTAGTGTTCCGATCACGTTTTTACAGTCTCTTCTGTCGAGTGCCAATAGGAATTTTGTGTACTTTCGATCTACCGTTTTAAACATGACTTTTACTGTTTTGCACCCAGTTAAATCGTTCCATTGGGTTTTGATTATCGTAGCCATGTTTCTGTCCAGATCGTCATATAGAAAATGCATGGGTTTTCCAATGTTGATAACGCACTTTATGCCTTTTCGAACTGGCACCCAGTAAAAGTGAAGTTTTTGACTTCTGGCAATACTTTTCACTGCTGCCATGGTTCCTCTCTCTGGCCTCTGGCCGATATGACCTGTTTGGCTGTCAGCGTAGACATGTGTATTAGAGGCCAGACTTGCGAAGACCTCAGCTTGAAATATACTGCAGTGGTCTGTCAACTTAAAAAGTTGTTTTATGCCTCATTTCGGTTAGAATATTATTGCATCAACTTCATCGTCCATTTTCGAGCCATCCGTATAGTCGATTACGCAATGAGTCTTTGCCTATATTTACTTTGAATCCCTTTGCCAGTTGAAAAGTGGGGTCATGTGGTCGGTGTTTGCCCAAGTGCCATTATCCACCCAGTTATACTCGAAGGTTCTATATGTAAATTACCCTGCAGCCAGTAGTTGTTCCGCCGATTCTACTTTCCAGTCAGCGAAGAGGTCTATAGCTAGCAGGATTGGTATCAGTTTCCATTATGTACAGTGCAGCGAGCTCCTCAACACTTTCCATTGGCTTCTGTTAGGCGCCTGTCATTATACTACTATCGAATTAATGTTCGCTCTAATAGCTTAGATATTAGAGGTTGACTAATAAATTAATTCCTTAAAAAAAAAAAAGAAATACAATTACGTAGTTCTCAAAGAACAAAAAGCAATGTTTACTATGACTAAGTGAATACGAGCTAACGTCATCCAGCAATGAATAAATGACGATTATCGTGTTAGTTTCTAGCGAATTGGCACGAGCCCGACGACCTCACTACGTATACCCAATAGCTTTAATTAGCATTATTTACAATGCGCTGCTTTTTGGCAAACATATTAGCTGATTAGTCCAAAAGGTTTCTAACAGTAGACTAGATCCTAACAGGGACTTCTTTTAGACCACCTATAATGCTGGTGTGTTGTGCCACTAAAAACTCCTTATAATAGATCATAAGACTCTTACAAATTGTGCCAATTACAATTGTGACTGCTAATGTAAATTTCGGCTATGTTTTCTGGTTCGCCGAAGGTATAAAATAAGTATAAGAAAGTCCTTGGATGTTTACACCTCGCCGTCTCCAAACAAATTTGACTGTTTGCCTATTGGGCTGTGTCTAGTAAGAACTAATACAATTGTGGCATTATCAACTTTGATAAAGGTGAATATTTCAGTAGATCTCCTGTGTCACAGAAACTATTATTCGATCAGCGCTCTAACCTTCCCTTCTAACTTTCGATCCGTGAAAAAGCTTACTGCGCCTCTTTTCCAGCGACTTCTCGCCATTCACATATCCCTCGTTAGTGTGAGCAGAGAAAAAGCCACCACGAGTAGCCTCTGTGACGCCGAAAATTATTTTAAAATGAAAATAAAGTTGTAATAAAAAAGCACGCGGGAATAGTAATTGAATTCCACGGGTATATGATATGATAAAAATATTTGTATTTTGTTATGATATTGGGACTATTCTTAATTACTATGTCAAATATTAGCGCGATCTATTCACCAGTTGGTTTATAATAGCTGCTTAAGACGGTAGACTTCTGCAGTGCGTTGATATTTTCACAAAGAATAAAAATATCGAAAAAAGAATTTGTCTCACATTTTGTATTTCTAACCAAATTTCGTGTGCGAAATCATTACGAATGCTGGAAAACGCTCTCACTCTTCAACTGATGAAAATATTAAAAAAGTGATATATGGTTCTTGAAAATCGTCAGTCAAGTGTTAGAGAGACGGCAAGAGAGCTAGATATCTCACGCGAGTCCGTTCAAATGATGTTTGTGGATATTGTGGGTATGGAACGCGTTCTTGAAATTGCCGCTCGGTGGAATTCATTGAATTGTTTGTGCTTAAGTAAAGTGTTTTGAGGACTAGAAAAATCCTTAGCATAAGTATACTTCACCTAGTGGGAATTTCTTTGAAAGCAACAACACAAATATTGATGAATACTTAAATATTTTGTCACAATACAAATTCAGAGATATCGACCATTTTTGTTTTAATAAGAAGTACTTAGAATCTTTTGTAAACTTTCTCACATAGAGCTTGAAGACACAAAATCACATAATTCATGTTTCAATTAGTTTTTTTTTTCTGTTTTAAATTATGCATGAATATTTGTACTATTCTGTAGCTCTCAAAAGCCTCAGCAGCTAATATTAAAAATGTAAGTGTGTCAATTCCATAAAGCTCATCCATCAATGGGAGAGCATGAAAGCAGATTGACTAAGCTGAAATCTGGTTGACGAATGTAGTCAAAACAAATTAGATAAATTGGAAAAGAAAAATGGCTAATTAAACTCAAATGATATGCAAATATTATGCCAGAAAGAAGAAACAAGACGACGCCAAGTTGGCTGCGATTGTTAGAAAACAATTTACGCCACGATTGAAATGAACGCTGAAAGCTTTCACTAATTTCTAAACCCGGTTTTACTAATACAAATTTAATGTTAAATAATTTGCAGTTTGTTTAAAGTTGTTTATGCACATCTTTATTACATATTCTCTTTAAAATATACAAATCACTAAAACTATTTCCATTAATGGGACTATTGCGCACGTGTCGTATCACAGTGTATTTGTTAGGTGGATGTAAAATAGCACTTTTCTACATATAACTAAACTATTTAAATTACAAAGCAAGTATTTAGGTATGCATAGGTATGTATTTACTAAATTAGCGTTTGCTTCGAAACCCTAGGCTTTTGCCACTACTCCTGCACCACGCCCTCCAGCAGCGAAATTTGCCCATTAAATTTACCATTCACATTGCTCGGCATATAGTAGACTGGGTAGGCACCGTCCACGAAGTTCACGGGCGTACCTTTCTGGCTGCCCATGGCCATTTCGCCTTGATTGAGATTGAAGCGCGGCACCACCTCCATCACAGCGGGCACCAACACCTGTCGCTTTTCGCTCGTCAACTGCGGGTATTGATAGGGATGACCGCTAACGGTATGCCGCTGATAGGGCACAATTATTGTCTGTATGGGTGAGTCGGGCCTGATGGGCAGCGCCATGCCAGTGTTGCTGCTGATAAGTACTGCGATGAAGCATAGCAGCCAAATTTGTAGGTGTACGTTGTTGTTGTTGTGATTGTTGTTGTTACGCTGTAAAATACGTAAAATATGCAAAATAAATTTCCATATTGGATTAAATATAGAAAATCATTTTAATGACCAAACGCAAATTCAATTTAAGGCTATCGCTTGTCTAAGTACTTCAGTCAGCTTCTTCGGCGCTGAGTGCAAGTAACAGCCGTAGGGATTATTTAAGCTTGATGGCCAAAGAGTGTAATTTAATTTGTTGTTGTCAAAAGCTTCTTAAGCGATTTGGCAGAAAATTAGTTTTTCTGTTGCGAAATTTAATGCGGCCGAGCTTTTATGGCGTTGTTGCAAGCAATTTATTTTCTAGTTAAATTATTTACAATATTCATTTCTGTTGATTTCAATCTGTGTTTTCTACTAATAGCATTAAAATTTAATTAAGTTTAAGTCCGTAACGAAACCATAATTACAATATTCTAAAATTAAGTGTCTGTAGTCTAACAAATTTGCTTTGGTGTTTAAAAAAAAATGCTCAGCTTTTGTTAAAACTGGTTATTGTTTTTAATTAATAATTTGTCTGGTTAAATAAATTATTAAATTGCTTATACATATACTGACAAGTCCAATACATTTTGATCTTTGTTTTATACGTAATAGTTTGTACCATTTGCCATGGACTGGCAGGTTGGTTCAACCCTTTCTTTATAATCGTGTGAAGTTTCATCTCCAGATATCAGTTATTCATCTGGCATTTTCTCTCATGAAAAAATTAAACAATGTGTTTAAATAATAATCGGGCGATACAATATATGGGCAATATGGCGGGTAAGGTAGAACCTCCCATTCAAGCGGGTTTGGCGATGTGAAACTGAGCATTGCCATGCAACAGAACTACTGTTTTGTGCCTCTTCCGGTATTGAGGCCGCCTTTCTAATGCTCTAAAGGGCTTGGCGGATGACTTCTAATACTGGACCAAGCTCTTCTTGCATGTGACAAAGATCCTCATCGAGCAACATCACTAATTCACCGTCTTCGAAGATCTTTGGCCTTCCCTAAAAGCTAATGTTGAAGCGACGAAACCAATCAAGACACATTGTTTCACTTGGTAAAGCTTCCCTGTAAACTTTTTGGAGTTCTCGATGAGCTTCAGCCGCCAATTTCTTTGACAAATTGAAGAAAATAAACACATTCCGCAAATGAAGATTGTTTGAGGAAAAATCGGACATAATCGCATAACCAAAGGTATATGACAGTCGCTAATGTGGAAATGCAGTTTCCTTCTCAAATGCCTATGTTAAGTTTATACGCTTTGTATATACCGAATTCGATCACCCCTAATAGCTGGATCCATCTATTTACAAACAGCGGGAACTTATTTGTTGACCGAATATGAATATATAAATAAATAAAGTCCTTTGTAAAGTCAGAGAAGGAGCTCTAACTATAAGTCGACAAAGCACTTTGAGCCGTTTCATATAGACGTATAACAATCGTCAACAATTGACCAGTATAGGTAACTATTGTGTTTGTAGATTGAGAGCACCACCATTGGTAATGCAATTTACCGGACTAAGCACTGGAACTCGTAGTTTAAAAGAGCAACCTTTAAGAACATAGCCTTCTGTTCGAATTCGTTGGCTTGAGTTCTGCGCTATTTTAAAATTCAGATAAGAGTGCATTGAGAGGGAGGGAGAGAGAGAGAAGTAACAGCAAAATATTCAACTCTTTCACGCTCACTAAGAACTTTAAAATATTACAGGCGCTTCTGCTTACTCTTCAATTCCTTTCCAACAATATGGCGAAGACTGCTCTGTAATTGAAACAGTGGAAGCCTCAAGTGTTTAACCAGAAATTCGATGGAGATATTAGGAGTTTGTAAGATCAGACTAACATAATTCAAATGTACGATATTTATCGACAGAGCAAACAAAAATTGGTAAGAATCAGGACCACAAACTAGGGCTTGTAACATGTTTCTCCTTTGTCATTCATAGCAGTGAATATTTTTAGGGTCTGCGGCGTTTATAGTTCTTAAGTTTGTAGAAGGCTTGATGAAACACCAAGAATAAGTTCTGATTCTTCATAAAAATGACGGAATAAGCTATTATATTTTCACAGTCACCAGTTGGTTTTTGATTAATTCTAAGTTTCAATTTATATTTCTTCGAATATTTTTGATCTTTTTCGACAGTGATAATTATTTCGGATATTTAATTCTCACTTTTATTGAATAAAAATATAATATTTTTAGTTTCCGTAATTTTTTTTCACTCAACTCGTTTGTTTTATTTTATTCATTTTTCATTTTCACTCTATATTTCGTTTTAAATTTTCACTATCCAATATTCCATTACCCCAAACATGATGATCCTTTGATAATCCTGCGGCTTTTTAGTATTTTAATTATTTGTCGCTAAAATTCACAGTTTTTACATTCACAAAGGGCAACTTTTCGAACTTTTCGTGTAACCAACACACACTTGTCCGCTCACGACTAGGCTGATGAGTTAAATTAACTAAAGTCTGCGCCTCGCAGTTGCTTAGACTTTATATTCCTAAATGAAAAGGCAAAGTTTTACAAAAATTCGACACGTTTTTTTTTTGCTTTAAGATAAAAATTCAGCAAGCGCAACAACACCAACAAATCGAGAAATTAATAAAAAAGGCAACACTTAATTAAAGTAACAAAAGGCGGTAGCCGCCAACGGGCACAGTGGTGGGTTTTACTTTCGGTTGGGAGAAAAAAAAAAACTTATTATGAAAAAAAAATAAAAAATATAATAAAAAAAAAACAATATTTTAACACAAATTTAAATAAAATATAATGAGAATTCGGGAGGTTTAAGGAAATGCGGATTTGCGACTACAGTTTTGATGTATAATTAGACATGAGTTCTAAAGTTCATGCCTTCAAGGCAACAATATATAATTCTTTGAAGTTATTTTGGCAACACCAAGATAGGCCTCTTTGGAAAATAGCTTTATATTTCGCAGTAATCTTTAGCATAGAATTTTAAAGCTAGTTTCTAAAAACACACAAAGCTTTCCGACGAAATATTTAATGACAATGAGAGAATTAAATTCGTGAGAATATTCTAGGAGACATCAACGACGTTTGATCGTTTTTTTTTTTTAATGACATATTTCTGACAGCTTCAAATTCATTAGAATGCTGTACAGATGTAGATTGTTTCCTTAATTTGGGAAAAGCTCTGGTTCAGAAATAGTGGTCCAGAGAAACATCAAAAAATTACAAAATACCCTGGCTTAAAAAGGATACTTTTAACCAAAATTGTAGTCGTTTTTAGACAGCCAAAATTCAATATTTCATCAGATCAATAAGTTCGAGAGAATATCGCTGATTATTCTAAGAAGAACTATGTACGGAAGAGAGCTGCGGAACCCCTTCGATAGGACCGGGAACGTTCTTTGCTGTGGGTGCAAACACTTTACGAGAGAAGCTAAGGATATGGGGAAAGGTCAGTAGAAATCGTTTGTGGCAAGAAGTGTTCAAGCTACAGACGCGGATGTTTTTGGAAGAGTTCGGTAGAACTCTTCCCTTCTTCTAGAAATAAATTTAGGCAGCTTGAGGGATTTTATACAAGTTACTGTAGGCTAAGTGTTAGTATTAACAAAAGAGGACACAATAGTCTTCAAACCGCAGTGCATTCCTCAAATTTCGGTCTATCCATACGCTTTGAAGAAAACGTGTTTAAAGTTAAACTAAATGAGCTTACTGAATTGATTGAACTGATTACACTTCAGAAGCAGAAACCCCAATCTATTTAATGCATCAAACTAAATTTTATAAGTATGTTTTCAAGGTCTAATATATCGTAGTAATTAAAAACATTCTATAATTTGACACTAAGAATCCTAACTATATACCTTTTGATCCCAACAGGGAATATAGCACTTTTGAGGATAGGTCATCTAGGAGAGAGGACTTGGTATTGACAATATGTGTAAGGTCCGAATTTTGTGTTAGAATAAAGACATACATAAAAAGGTTTTTACAACTTAGACCCTCAGACCATCACACTGTGCGACGAATTGAAGCATTCAACGAAAAAGGTGATGCCAAAGTATTTAAATAAATTTTATTATTACTTAAACGCCTTTAAACAAGTGTTGAGAGAGAGCACGCGCGCTTTGCAAACGAAAAACATAAAAGTTAAAGCAAAATCAAAAGCAAATACAAATTCGCTACAAACGTTGCCGTGTGCATAACAACAACACCAGCGGCCACATGTCTAAATATCAACGTCAACGGCATTAAAGTCAGCGCGTCAGCATTACTTTAAAGACATGTTTCATCAAATCACAGCTTTTGTTATTGTTGCTCTGTTGGTTAAAACAACAAACATACGAACAAACGATGAATAAGCCATGCACGAAAAATAACACTCATCAACATATTAAAATAACAATAAAAGTAACACACCTTCGAGTGTTGAAGACCAAATGAACAGCAGCTGCAGCTAGCGATCATTTTAGATGTGTTAGGCGTCACGGATGTTATTGCGAATTGTTGCTTCGGGTAGGGGGACGCAAGAGTTTTGATCGACTGTCACCGATAGGATGGCGCTGCACTGGCATAAACCGCTGGAAGCTGGTGGGAAAAGCAGCAAATTGAGGCGATTGCTCTGGCGCTTTTGTTTTATAGCGGGCGTATTGCGGAAATCATTCGCACTGCATGAGCAGTAGTTCGCGCCAAGTTGACGCATGTCTTACATGGTTAGCTCGTTCATCTTCATCAGCGCTGCACCTTGTTGGGTAGTGTTGTTGTTTTTTTTAATTGGGAAAGACTGAAGGTGGAAAAATTTATAGTGAACCGCTGCTTGGTTATGTAGTTTATTGTTATTTTAATTATGCGACGTTTTATATGTTCGATATTTGAAGCTTTATGCAACCACCTTAAAATGCTTTCATATCATCATAAAGTTAGTTTTTGATTTAGACTTCCTGGTTGGCTTATTTGAACTGAATTTAGCAAATGAACAATTTTTTTTTAACTTTCGGAAATTCATTTCATGATCTTCTCATTGTTTTATTTTTCAGTTGGTGATCTATTACGAGGTTACCCACTTTAGGAAAAAAAAAAATTCAAATATAATGTGGAAAGTTTATTATAATTCGCAAAAATATTCTTTGGCAATTATTTTTTTCAAATGTCGACCGCGAGCTCATCTTAGATGGTCCATCCGTTGAGTCCAAAGTCCGTGAAGTTTTGCTTCAAAGCCTGAATCAAAGCGGGGTTGTTGGTATAGACTTTACATATCCTCACAGAAAAAGGTCTAACCGTGTGATGTCACACCATCTTGGGGACCAATCGACCGGCCCAAAACGTGAAATTATCTGCTCACTGAAGTGTTCTCTCCAAAAATGTATTGATTGATGTGATGTGTGGAAAGTGGCGCCCTTTTGTTGAAGCCAAATGTCCCCGATATCAGTAGCTTCAATTTCAGGCATCAAATATTCCATTATCAAAGCGCGATAACGGTTTTTGTGAATAATATGACAGCTCTCGAATCTCTTCTGGTTTCACTTCGTATAACTGGGCCCCATCGCTTAACAAAATTTGGCTCGAAAACGTTGGATCTTTTTGGAACTTTTCAAGAGCCCATCGAGCGAAGTGATGTCACTGACGAAGGTCGAGCGGCTTCAGTTCTTTCACAAGCTGCACATTGTATGCTTTCAATTCGATCAGGTCTCGACGTAAAATGCACCGAGTCGTTCCATACGTTAGTCAGAGTTGCTGCGAACGGCGCCGAATTGACTATCAACGGCCTTCGTGTACACTGTCACTACGTTCTGGTCCTGGTTTATTCGCTCAAATATTATCTAGTAATGAATGCTGGGTATCAAGATGGGTGATGGTGTTGCGAATAGTACGCTCAGTATGTCGATTATGTTGAACACAAGTGGAACGAAACGCCCGAAATATTTGTTTATAAAATATATATTTATTTGAAGTTTAGTTATAAAAATTATACTTAAAGTATAGAGAATACGGAGAGAAGACATGATTTAAATAAAATTGCAATTTTATCACAATCTTGTTTTCCTAACATCGCAAAAAATGTAAAAATCAGCGCGCACCTTTTCCGAGCCTCATATTAGGACTGTACTAAGATATCTTGAAAATCTTCATTTATCCTAAGTTAGGCTAATTTTTGCTCAATTCCCCCCGAACTTAGCGCTTCCTTACATGTTATACTTAGTTTCAGTATTTGTAAATTTATTGTTTTGCCTTTCCAACAGCGACTTTTCAGTAATAAATTTTGTACAATTAAGAAAATTTGTTTCCAATTGTTTAGTTAGTTAATTCATTAGGCACGATTTCGTGTAGAAATTCAAAATTTTTTCAAGAAATTTCACCAAGCCTGCATGACATTGTGCATAAATTTAACTAACTAGCGCTGAGAAGCTTGACAGTTACTTTGTTGTTTCCTTCAGAGCAATAAATTACCTATATGCACTAAGAATAAATTTTAATAATAGTGAAACATAAATATAAAGTTGGTTTGACGCTGCTGATTATATTTGGCATTGTCGAAGCATGCATTTCCTTAAATCATAGATAAAGCTTTGGCTTCATTAAAAAATCAAACGCTGCGCTTTTTGATAAAACGCAAAGATAATGGCTTCTAAAAGTTGTCTTCCTACATGCGTTACTTTATTAAAAGTAATTAAGTTATTGGTCGATTATATACTTATATAATATTTATATCAAAGTGCCGAAAAGAATATTAAAATATTTGTATTTTATTTGTCAGTAATGGAAGAGACATTGGTAAGTGTAAAATATTTCAGAAGACTCATATAAACAACTGCAAAAATTATTTGAAACTTTTGTATGAAAAATTTTTATCTGAAATGTGCATAAATACATTTTTCAATAATTTATTATGCTTGCATGTATGCTGATTTGTATGATATTCGGTAATTTTTCGAAGGGTAATCGGAAATTCCAAAAGTTAATCAAACAATATTTTTTTACATAACTTGGTACTGATATGGCATTAGTACTTCTTCAATGTGAAGTTTGCCAATTTTTGTGGTATAGAAGTGACGATTTGCTTCGCGATGTGACTTAGCGAGATTGCCATACCTGTGATGTGATGACATGATCTTAGCCATTTAGTTTAACTCAATGTAAAATGATCCTCTTCATTATATTAAGGTAATAAATATCGATACGATTTTAAGATGAGATGTAAACTATCATATGATGTGTTGTCATGATGTTCGACAATTTTGTAAACACGTCGCGATGTGATGAAAGCTATCGTATGATGTGAGATCATAAAACGAATCGATCCGATGTGATGTTAACTATCGTATGATGTGTTATTAATATTTTCTACAATTAAGTAAATTGGTCCGATGTGATGTAAGCTATCATAGATGTGATGTTATGATTTTGTACAATTTTGTATTAACGTCATTTGTTTTGTTTCTTAGTTGTTGAAATGTATGCCAAGAATGTGATATTATGATGTGACTATGTGATGTCACATCATGTATTATAATCTTGAGTTGAAACTTAACAGCTACTTATTGAGCGCTTTTCAAATATT